TGGAAGCCTATCCTTATCTGAAGTGTGGGCATTAAGAATCTGGGGCTGGGCACCTACTGATTTTAAAGGGATATGGCCCCCGGTCAGACTGTAAACATCCTAGAAATGATGAGGGCTTATCTAAGCTTTCAACCTAACCTAACTTAAGAGGTGCATGATCAAGAGGCTGTAAATACCAGATGAGTTGCTCCAAAGGAAATTTCTGTTCCCATACGACCAGAGAGTGCCAGAAACGAAACACTAAGAACTCATCTCAACTCCCGTTTCTAACCACTGCTGCTTGGCACGGTACAGAGCATTCCAACAACTTGCCCACCATCTTCCTCCAGTGTCTTTCAACTCTAAGATCAAGTGCTTGAATTTTCCCAGATCACCTTATGCAGATCTTATTTTCACTGAGCAAGGAAAGAGAAGCCTTCAATCATCTTGCAGGAAAATGATAGCATCTGCTTGAGGATTCAGAGATGTTTAACTGCAGCTTTTCACAAACTGATTATATTTAAAGCTCCTTTGGGGAATGGGGGCTGGGAGGAAAGAATCCGGAGCAAAGACCTTTGTTGGCATGAGTAAAGAAGTGCTAAGACCTCCCTGAGGAACACACTTGTTTAAATATCAGCAATCCAAATTCCCAAGTGGGTGTGCATACACAATATGCCACATGGTTGCTCCAGGTCCACATTTGGCTTTACCATTCACAGTTTTTGCAGAGAGAGAAAAGTGGGCCTTTAAAAGCATGTATTATGAAGCAGAGAGTGATAACACAAAAGGTTTAAACATAATATGTCTTTCCACTCTCCAGAATCAGCCCCACACAGCAGTTATTCCACCCCAATCCTGTCAGGTGGAGGTGAAGGGCGGAGATGGGATAAGAGGATAAGAGTTTAAAATTTCACCCGCTCTCAAAGATTCCTAAAAAGGTTAACAGGCAAAAGTCGGAAACTTCCCTATTAAAATGCTCTAGACAGAAATGACAGAATTATACTTCTTAGCTTGGTGACACATATACATACACTGTTCTTCTTAAGACATTAAGGGGAGGAAAAAAAAAAAAGACAAGACCCCTAATGTTCTCAAGAAAGAGAATCTGACTGCTCTGCACACAGTACCACTCTGTTTCAGACTATTTCTCCTGGAATATTCGAATTCACTGTCAATCTCAAGCTTTCTGGGAACTATGAAAACCCCAGGCGTGGAGATAAGAAAAAAGGGGTAAGGACAGAACAATCCAGGGACTGGATATAATTTGAACCACCACCACCCCCAAACTCAACCCAGATCTTCACCTTTGATAAACCTGGTTGCACCTTACCATCTTTTGTTGCACAGAAATGAACAAACTAGAGGACAATGCTCTCAGGTTATAAATGAATCTGATCAGAGTTTCCAAAAATTTCCAGGGATCAATGTATATGAAAATGCTTTGTAACTGGGAAGAGCTTTGAAAAGCACCAAGAAAAGCACTACTGCTTTCGAGTCAGATATTGAGAGGCATGAACTTTCAAAGGAATCTGAACACCCACAAACCAGAAACAATGACGGTTTTTAAGAAGGCAGCTAATAAGCCAGGCTGACTAAGGAGGCACGCCCTTCATAAAACCACACTGGGGATGCCATAGTTGGGGTCACAGCCTCAGAAATGCTTGGGGGCACAAACAAACAGGTGGTTTAAGAATGGATGAAGGACACAGGGTATACCAGGTCACAAAAAGTCATGTAGAGTTTACCTGGTTCAAACCATTCTGACTGGAAGCCACAACCAATATTCTGGTCAGAGACATACAGAAGAAACAGCCAAAAATTAGACAGTTTACCTGTTGAATTTACAGAGAGAAAATGAGGTCTTGAGGGCTGAAATGACTGACCCAGGTAGCTTTTATTACTCCTAGAAGAACTTAATTAGAACTTATTTCATACCTAGACTTGTTTTCTACCACTTAATGGCAGGTGTTCCAGAGGCAAAAAGGTTCTACAGCTGGAATGACACACATACACACAGAATTATACTTCTGTTTATACTGTTCGGCAAGGTAGAAGGAAGCCTAACTAACAGAGTAGTCTACGCAATTATTAAGTATTTGCAAGTGCTTGGAGCTGTACAACATGATTTTTATATAATGTCTTGCTAACTATCTTTGGAAAAACTATACTATTTTGCCTATGTTCTAAGTAAGAATATAGAGATTCCGACAAGTCCTGAAACTTACCTTAGAAATGAGGCAAGAAAGTCAAAGATTAGATTTAAACTTGAATCCCTAAAGCCTGCGCACTTAACCACTAGACCAAATTAGCAGTTTAATGTTTGTTATCTTACCATCTGTAAGAGAAGAAAGACCAGTAACACTCTTGAGTTCTATATAACGTGCAAAAGGTTGAAAATCTAACAATTCTGGCTCTTGCGAGTTGGGAGGCACAGCCAAACTAGAACTCAAGCCCCTTGTCACACAAGTGTATGAGTTCTAGAATCTAAATTCAATGAGGGAGAGGATACATCTTCAGTCCCCAGAAACAAATAGAGTCAAGCTCATATAGCTTGGCTATGTGATCTAAGGAGAGTTTATCTAAGGAACGTGAAATCATATATATCTCTTGGGGTGTATTTGGAATATAGGCATACCCAAATGTAATCTATTGCTATCTTTTTTAAATACTATACTTATTGACAAATTTGGGCAGTTTTTTTTTTTTAACACCATGACGAGGATGAAATCCAGGGTCTCACACATGCAAGGCTAATGATCTACCACTAAACTACATCCCTGGCCAAATTTTGGCTAAGGATTGCTTTTCCCTACTCTGGTCAAGCTTTCATTATATATAAAACTAGAATAAAAAAGAAATCTGGAAATCTGTAATCTATTTCTCGTTTCAGATCTACCAGTGCCCTGGACAAGCCTCATAATTTCTCTGTACTCTCCTCAGCTGTAAGATGAGGGACTAAGTGATTCATACCAGTCCTAAAATTCCTAATTTAAGGACACCTCTGGATAAGACATCATGCTCAATCACCTAGAAAATCCCATAATACTGAATATTACAAAGAAAACATACTAGAGCAAAGCAAAACGGACCCCTGTTTATGGCAAGGTAGAAGAGAAACTCTAAGTATCCAACTGCATTACCTCATCTCAATGAGCAATGTTAGTAAATACACAAAGTGTTTAATTTTGAAACTCACGAGAAACCTTCACCAATAAGGAAAAAGCAGATACAGTTCTATTAACACCTATCAAGCCTGCACCCTTCAAAACAACAACAACAAAAACCAAAAACATGTAAAAAATCACTTTACACCTTAGACAAATGGCGTGCTTCAACAGAGAAATCTGGGAAAGTCAAAGTTATTAACACTCCCTAGGGCAACAGTCAAGAATAGGATGTGTAAAATGGAATGACATAATCTAGTTAAAATTGCAGGGGGGGGATTCCAAGAGCAGACTGCATCTAGAAAGGACACAGACCAGTGGTCTATTGTTTACAAAAACAGGCCCAGATTATGAACAGTGACAAGAGGCCAAGACCTCAATTATAACTCGCTACAACACTTCTCCCAATTCCAGTTCAACTGAAGCTATTAATCAGCCAACTCCCCTATCTCTGTCTAAAAAAAAAAAAAAGGGAAAAAAACACCAATATTTGCAACCAAGGATACAAAGTCCCTTAGGGCACCTCCAGCACTGACCAAAGCAGGTGACATTAAAAAGATCCTACAAGCACAATAGGGACTCCATACCACCTTCCAATCCTTAAAGACAAGGCAACTGTCCATTTCAAGTCTGCCCTACCCCCACCCCAGTCAGGTGTCAGAGAGAAGACAAGGCCCTTCTAAGTCCTCTGTGATAGGAAAAGGTCTCCTTCCATTGATGCAGGGATAGAACAGGGGCCCCTCCCTCTGTACTCTGAAACAAAGGAAAACCCAGAGCTTCCTCCATGTGGTGCAACATTCAAGGCCACCCACATCTCCCAGTCCTCAGCGGAGGTCTCAAGGGCTAAAACTACATGGCTCTTCCCGGTCACTAGCCAAAAAAGGGCAGTACCTTGCACAAACACATGCTGGGGCCCTTTAATAGGCAGAAATCTCTCCTGGGGAAGAACTGCTGCTGTGAGGGCTACCTGGGAAGGGGCTTTGATTCGTGTGCCAAACGGAATTGAACCGCATGTGCACACAGGTCACATGTCTTCTCCAGGTCCACATTTGGCTTTACCATTCACATTTTTGTACAGAGAGAGAGGAGTGGGCCTTTAAAGGCATGTAATCTGGAGCAGAGAGTGACAACACAAAAGGGTTAAACAATTATGTCTTCCCATTCTTCAGAGCGGCAATTCTTCCATCCCAATCCACTCAGGTTTAGGTGAGGGCGGAGACCACTAAGAGTGACCTTATTCTTTCTGTTCTCTGATCACCTAATGAATACAGGGCAATCTGAGACTAGGCATTTACAAGGTGCACCCTGGTTGCTACAGACTTTCTGTGTTCCATGCACTAGGAAATGTCTTTTTTTGATACAGTAGTGCATAAAAAAAAAAAGAAGAAGAAGGGGGGGGAGAAGGGGCCCCTCCAAATGACACGTCTCCCCAAGGCTGCCCTTCTGGACCTGGAGGCCGGGAGTCCACTACCACCTCTGAAATATATTCCCAAACACCTGTCAGATTGTAGCTGTCCTTCAAGGAAACCTGACCCGGGCACCCAAAAGGAAACTGCCCAAGAACCTCTCCAAGAATCTCCCTCCCCCCACTCAGCCTGGAGGAAAGGGCTGCCCCCAAAATGGTCTGCAGGACACAGGTTAAGCTAGAGCCCCACTCTGAAAATTCTTTTCCAGAGCTTGTGGCTCTTGGCACTGCCCATCCCAAGGAGAATAAGACCTGCCTAGGAGACCACCTCTGGGGTCAGCCTAGCCCCTCTGCTCCACCCAAAGAAATGAACCTCCTGAAAATCTGGGTGGAAATGCATGCCTCAGTGATCCCCAGCACAGACGCATTATGCTATTTTTCAAAGCCCTTACCTTTGACCTGAGTGTCATACTCTGCTATGATCTCCTTATCCTTTTTGAATTTGGCTGGAGACGTCATTTTTTCCTTCTTTCTTCCAAATTCAAACTGTGAATTTATAGATCCACGGGGAAAATCCAACCACCGAAATCAATACCTCCAAGACCGCTTCTCTCGAGGGCTGAAGGGGCCCCCCGCGGTGGTCTCCAGCGCTCCGGGGAGCGCGGGCTGCGGGCTGCGGAATGGGCAGGCGGCTACGGCGGGCACATGCAGACGGTGGGCGCTGGGGCCGGGCGCGGCAGCCTCTGGTTCCTGCGCTAGAGCCGCAGCCTGAGCATTAGCCGGGAGAACTGCAGCGCCCGGAGGCTGGTCTGGGGTCTGACATCAACGACACAGGCAGGGAGTGGAAGTCCTTCCGCACAACATGGTGTGGGGGGCGTGGGGGTGTGGACGCGCCCAGCTGTATCCCCAGGAGGGAGTGGGTGCGTATCGGGGTGCAGGGGGGAGGGCTGGGCGTGCTTCGCGGGTTTTTGTTGCACAGGCTGGAAGATGCTGCGAATCAAATCCCAAACGGGAGCAAGCAGCGCGGACTGGATCGGAAGTCGTTTGCTCCGGTTCAGTTGCCTGTAAACGCAGGGAAAAGGGGAGGGGGCGATTAGCCCCGGCGCAGATCCTAATCGCCGCCGGGTGGGGTAGGGGACCGTGTTCCGAGCTCGGCCTGGGCCCATTCATCTCGGCCGAACACGCCTCGCGCTCCGCGGAGTGCGGTGCGGTGAGGTAGGGAGGAAGGAAGCTCCCTCCGGATTTTGTTTTAAGGCTAAAAGGAAACACTTTGGGGGCTGCCGCCTGCACCGGCTCCGGGTGGGGACTGCGGCGGGAACGCGGGACTCCAAGCTGGGACTGCGGCACCTCCGCGGCCTCCCTGCCGAGCCCCACCAGGGTTGGGCAGCGGCCAGCCGGAGGGAGCTCTCCTGGCTCAGTCTCCGACGTGGCCCCTGACCCGCGGCGGGGGCAACTCCCTGGACATCAAAGGGGATCAAAGCCCGGGAGGGACCAGCCACCGGGGCACAACTTTTCTTCCCCTCCCGCTTCTCCTCCCAGTTGTTTTGTTTTTGGTTACTAGCTTCTCTTGGCAGCAAAATGGGGGGGGAGGGGGGAAGAGATCAGCAGGAAAAACCCTGCTATGCACGGGACACATCCAGGAAAACAATGTGGTCGGCAGAAGCAGGAAACGGGTTAGAGGCAAGGGTCGGAGTCGGGAAAACCGGGGACCGGAGGGCGGGGGGCGGAAGGTAGCCGCACCTCCCCCTAGCCAGCAACCGGAGTGACTGTAATTGCCCTCCCCGACCATTTTTGCCATCCAAGATCAGAGATCCCAGATACCGCACCCAATTCCAGGCAATTTCCAGGGCGAGGAGGGAGGAGTGTTTGCGGGTGGGGTATCGACGAGAGTCGGGGTCACAACTCCTCGCATTCCCCGCGGTACCCGAGAAGCACTCCCGGGCCCAAGCCGGATCGGCGGGAAGGAAGCGGGGCGGGGAAGCAGAGCCGAGCCTCGATCCCCCCTCCCGCGTGCCCGGCGACCCTCGCTCCTAGGCCGCCCTTGCTCTCCCCGCGCCGAAGCGGGAGGTTCCCGCTAGCGTCTCCCACTTCCCGCGCCCGGAAAGGACCGCAACCGAGGGGGCTGGAGGGAGCCGGGATGGCGTGGTGCTGCAGGCGGGCGGGAAGCTGGGAGGGGCGGGGGGCGTAAGGTGGGGTCCAGAGGCTGCACCAGGGTAAGGGCAGAACGACCTTCCTAATGCACGCGCCTGAAAGATGGGGAGTGGGCAAGTGGCTGAAGACCACCGGTGGGCCGAGGAGGCTGTTCAAAAAAGACTGGCACGGGCCACGCTGTTACGTGGAGTGCGAGGATATGAGCAACTTTGGGGACCCAGATATGGATCGGAGGACGCGAGTGCGTTGCAGAGCCATTCCGGGGCGGCCGGAGACAGGGGCAGGGGAAGAGCCCCGGAAGCAATGCGGAACACCCATCCTTCTGTGTTCCCGGGCTGCAGACCGGCCGTCCGCCAGGGCTCGGAAGCCGGGGAGGAGGACAGTCGCTGATTACGAGTGATGCCATCGACTGGAGCCCCGCGGTGGACCGAGCAGACTTGGGGGGGGGCGGGGGGTTGGGTGCGGGCTGCGCGGCGGCATGTGAGCCAGGGCTGAGTCCCAGGGCTCAGCGGCGAAGGGCGGAGAGACGCGGTCCTGAGAAGTATTATGGGCTGCACTGGGAGATTCAGCGAGGGTCGGGGTGGGAGGGGGCGGTCTGGGGAGGGATTTCGGGCGGCACCGCCAAAGCGATACCGCAGGCAGCATCCGCGCCCTCTCCTTCCCGCCGCTTGCCAGGGTGGGTTCGGCCGGGGATCCCGTCAGGCGGCCGCGCAGAAGAAAGGGAAGGGGTAAGGAGCCTTTACCTGGCTCTGTCGCGACGGGTCCCGGGCCCCGGGGTCCGCTTCCCACTCTGAGCTCTCCTCCCCTTTCTGCCCCGCCACCCGCTTCTACGCAGATCGCTCTCAGAGTCCCCCGAGGAGCCTCCGCCAACTCTGCAGTACCCCGCCGGGAAGTAGAGCCCACCCCCTTGCCAATCACCGCCCGTTTGCTATCGACCGATGGGGCCGGTAGCCAATGGGAATAGTTGGTCGCGAGAGGCCCGGAATGAGGAGGAGGGGCTGGCGAAACTTGGAGGTGTGACTAGCACCTTCGAGGCGTAGTTTACAGAGTAAGCTCCTCCCCGGGCTGCCAGAACCCTAAAGTAGAATTAATAGGCGGGGTTAAGAGGGAACCAACTACCCAACACAAACTCTTGGGAGGAGGCAGGAACCAATGGAGCCAGGGTAGAGAGGCGGGGCGTTGCGGAGAATTTTAACCAATAGCGAGTAGAGGTCGGTGGGACTGTGGAGCAGTTTCCAATGAGAAGTGAGAAAGGCCGGGCCGTGCCGCTTTCTCCCAGGAGCCGGCCAATGAGACCAGAGGCGGAGCCAAGCTTGGCCAATCAGAAGCCTCCGTGATCTCCGTACCGTTACAGAGGCGGGGCATCCACGTTCCTCGCCCCTGGGATTCGTCGGGAGGGCTCCGAAGCCCTCCAATGCGGGACGCGGGCGAACTCTCGTTCTCCCAATGGGTGCGCAGCGCAGGCAATTCAAACTGACAGCCGGCCGGGGAGGCTAGAGAGAGCGGAAGAGAGAGCAAGAAAAACCCAACGTGTTTTTTGCCGGAGAGCCAGAAAGCAGCCTTCCGCTCCGCCTCCCTCCCGCTCCGTTCCTTGCGGCACCCCCGCTGCTCTGGGGAGCGGCCGCTCCGGGGAGGAGAGAGCTCCGGGGACGGCGAGAGGCTCGAGGGGGAAAAAGCGCAGGACGCGAAAAGACACGGCACGAGACGCCGGCACGCCGAGGGCTGGGGGTGGGACGACCGGCGAACACGTCCGCGGAGTTGGAGGGTCGCGGGAGGACTCGGGAGAACGGGGAATCGTCCCCGACTGGTTGAAAAGTGAGACTTCCGAATCCGGGATCGCGGAGAAAGATTTCCTGGGGGGGGGCGTGGGCAGGGGACGCTCGGCTGGTGCGAACGTGAGGCCGGGAGCCGGGCATCCTCCAAGAGAAGCTCTCAGTGAAACGTTTGCTGGAGCCGCTGAGGGGATCGCTAAGAGGAGCCGGAAGAAAGAAAGGGGAAAGCTGAAGAGAAAACCCCGCCGCTCCCCCGCTGCAAACCGCTACTCCCTTCGCCAGGAGCTGACAGGAACGCCTGGTCTGTTGCTTCTCCCCGTCCAGTTCCCCAGCACGCTTGCTTCCGACGGGGAAATAAATAAAAGACCTCCTTTTCCGCCCCTATTTTAGGGCAGGGACTGGCTCGAAAGTTCCTCACGGTTTGATTTTTTTTTTTTTTTTGGCCTAGGAGAATCAAACCAGAAAGAAATTGCTCTTGTCTCCCCAGCAACCCCCCACCCCCACCCACCCACCCACCCACCCACGCCGCACCCCGGGACGCCATGTCTACCAGTATTTGTCATTTCAAGGACCGGTGCGTGTCCATCCTGTGCTGTAAATTCTGTAAGCAAGTGCTCAGCTCTAGGGGCATGAAGGCCGTCCTGCTGGCGGATACTGAGATAGACCTTTTCTCCACAGACATCCCTCCTACCAAGTAAGTCGTGCTAGCGGCGGGCAGTGGGGGCAAGTGGACGGCGGGGAACTCGCACGGCGACCCGGAGGTTATCACTGTGCTGGTCCAAGCCACTCCCGACAGTCTCATCCCCTGGGAATAGAACTAAGTGGGCAGCCTGTCTGGCCCCGAGTCTGTGGTGTAGCCAGGGCGGTCACGCCTGATGTAATGCTTCTGGGTCAATTAATTAGCGTCATGTGACCACATCCCCGCGGTTGCATCCCAGACGCCCTGTCCTACCAGCCTATCTCAAGGCCCAAGTCCAACCAGCAAGATTCCCTATGCTCTTGGAAAGGTTTTGAGTTTGGGGTACCACCCCCCCAGCCCCATTACGTCTTACATCAATCCCCCCCCCCGAAAAAAAAAAGTTCCCTACCATTATTCGTAATGGGCAGGCTGGATCCAGGATTTCATCTATAAATAGAATCCTGTCTATGGAATTCAGTATTCTTTTCTCTAAGATTCCTTTTTGCTGAATAAGAGACATTTTTAGGAGATGAAGTAAGAGTGCCCAAGTAAAGCCTAGTTTGAATATTATTCGTTTGCATAATTAAATCATTTTAAATTCTGTTTTTAGTCTCCACACACTTTGGTGTAGAATCTTGAGAAGTTTGCTTCCAATTTGGAAAGTAGCTGGGCTGGAAAGATAGTACAGAAAGTGTTTGCAATGTGATAGTACAAAAGTGATTGCAAAGTGAGGCTGGAGCCATAGCACAGTGGGTAGGGCGTTTGCCTTGTACCGGGCTGACCCAAGTTCTATTTCCAGCATCCCATATGGTCTCCCGAGCACCGACAGGAGTAATTCCTGAGAGCAGAGCCAGGAGAAACCCCTGAGCATCGCCAGGTGTGACCCAAAAAGCCAGGGAAAAAAAAGTGATTGCAAAGTGAAGAAAAACTTAAGCATACAGACAATGAATTTGAAAGAGAGCGTGTGTATGAGAAAGATAATTTTCTTAATAAAATTAACTGGGGGAAAGGAAACAGTATAAGGGGTAGGGCATTTGCCTTGCCTGAGGCTGGTCAGGGTTTGATACCTTGTACCCCAGCTAGGAGTGATTTCTGAGTGCAGAGCCGGGCCTAAGCCCAATCCACCCCACATCTCAAAAAAAAAATATATATATATATTGACAGGTTTGAGAAATAAATGTAAAAAAATAGCCATTTTATTTCTCTCAATTATACCTTTTCCTAGCTCTGAAAAAAGGTATCTACTTTCTCTTTCTACAACCAATGTATCAGTTCCCTATATGATTTTCAATATTTATCTCTGTTGGAACTTACTTCATACTTATAGCATACTTTATTATTAAAATGCAGTAATTATCCAAGATTTAGATATACAGTGTTTCTTTTGAACAAAGCCAGAGGAGGAAGACTAAAAATCTTTAAAATTAGTTTCATGATAATGTAGATTTCTTTTTTAATTTAAGTATACCCAGCCCTGGAGAATGATACCAGTTGACAGTTTACAAGGCAACCTCTCCAGCCCCTTTACCTTGAAATCTTTTCTGACTTGGTTTAAGTGTAGTCATGGCTAATGGCAAAGTGAAACATTATCATTTATTGCAAATATAAATGGATTAATATCTATGTGTTGAAAGGAGAAAAAGTGGTAGGCAATAAATTTAAAACCTACACTTCAAAGTGTCTATGAGTTGTTGCTAGTGCTTTTTCTTTTTAGCAGCACACATACAAATTAAAAACAGTAGCCAACTCAATAACTGTGGTAATAAGACAGTCATAAGGAAAGCTCAGTTGTGAGTTGTTACGTTAGACTAGAGAATCAGGTTTTTCCTATTGTCTGCTCTTTATGGAAATTACAGTAGTGATAGATTAGTGTGCAAGATGTACATCAATCAATGAGTACATAGCAGATTGTTAATAGAGGGGCCAGAAATGTAGCTTAAAGGTCTAGAGTGCATGCCAGGTCTGGACCACGTAGTTTCCCTGGCACTTCCAGGTGTAACACTGAAGAACCGCATGCTCAAAAAGAAAAGATCTTTTAAATGAAAGATATGTTGAATATAATAATCTTAGAAATAGCAACTCATAGAATTCTTAAAGTCTCAGGTATAGGTCAACAAAATTCATACTAAATAGAATCAAATATATTCAGTCACAACCAGTAGTTAGAATATGGAAAAGTCAGAACCCTTGTACACTGCAGGTAGGAATGTAAAATGATGTAGCTGAAATGAAAACTATGACAACTCAAAAAAAACAAAATTGAATTGCTATGTGATGCAGCAATCCCACGTCTTGGATATATAATTTTTAAAAATTCAGTACATAATCTGTAAGATATTTTCAAACCTATTTTTTAGCAGCATTACTCACAATTGCCAAACGATGAAGTCTGTGAACATATAGTGAGTAAACTAAGTGTGGTATATACATATAATGAGTTTTCACCTTTAAAAAGTGAAGATCTGGGCTGGAATATAGCTTAGTGGTATAGCACTTGCTTTGCATGTGTAAGACCCAGGGTTCAATTCCCAGTCGTGAGAAAAGAAGAAAGAAAGAAAGAAAGAAAGAAAGAAAGAAAGAAAGAAAGAAAGAAAGAAAGAAAGAAAAAGGAAAATGGGAAGGAAGAGTAGGGCAGGGAGACAATTCAAAAAAGGAATCAACTGGAGTTGACTTTGTTCAAAGCAATCACCTTACCCCCTGTACTGTCTCCAGCGTATGTCTTCCATTTTTGAGTCACTGACTTCTATACCTGGCAACACATTCCTGTATCCCCCACCATCATCACCCACTATGTTCTCTCCCCCACACCCTATATCTGCTGAGTGCAGTCCTGGTGAGCCCCAGCACTGAACTGCTGGCAGTATATTGCTGGGATTGGTCCCTGAGCACCCCTTCAAGAAAAGAGTATCTTTTCATATGCAAAACATGGATGGACCTTAAGGACATTACCTTAAGTAAAGTGAGTCATCAGGGACCAGAGACATAGTATATGTAAGGTGCTTGCCTTGCAAGAGGCCTACCTTGTTTCAGTTCCTGGGACCACATATGGTAACCGGTAATAATAAAATGAGCTAGTCACAACAAAACAAGTACTGTATGATTCCACTTATGTGAATAGGAATTAGAATGGTGCAGGAGGCTGAAGCAATAGCACAGTGGGGATAGCACAGCGGGTAGGGCGTTTGCCTTGCACGCAGCCGACCCAGGTTCAATTCCCAGCATCCCATATGGTTCCGCCAGCACCGCCAGGAGTAATTCCTGAGTGCATGAGCCAGGAGTAATCCCTGTGTGCATGAGGTAGGAGTAACTCCAGTGCATCGCTGGGTGTGACCCAAAAAGGAAAAAAGAAAAAAAAGAGAAAGAAAGAAATTAGAATGGTGCCAGGGTGTATGTGGGAAGGAAAATGGGAAGTTACTGTTTAGTGAGTACAGACTTTTAGTTTTGCAATATGAGATTGGTTGCATAAAATGTAAATATACATTTCTGAACTATGTACTTAGAAATAGTTAAATAGATAATGGTGTGTATGTATTTAATGTACATTTAATCTCTTTGCTTTTCCCTTTCCAGTGCAGTGGATTTCATTGGAAGATGCTACTTCACTGAAATCTGCAATTGTAAACTGAAGAACATTGCTTGCTTGAAATGGTAACACATGGCACAATTCTAGATAACCCTGGGTTTGGGAGATTGACTGTCAATCCAAAACACAGAGAAAGGCTTGGTTGCCTCTTTCAGACACTGGTTGTAACTCATACATGAATCTATTGAAAAACTATTTAAACTATTTTTTAAAGTTTCATTTCAAAAACATTTTTAAAAGACTTTACATTTGTATATTTTATGATTTTTAAAGGCATTTACAAATAATTTTTAATTTCCTGTACAAGACAATGTAATTGGGGTAGAATTTTGATTTACAGTCAAAAATCAGCTTTGATGGGTGTGTAATTCCTTTTACTTCATGGGGTTCTCTCTTCTCTCTGGAGAAGCCTCTAGTCTCTCTTGAATGCATTACCTTTTCTCTCTCCTCCTTTAATAAAATTTCTTTGTGAAAAAAATATATATGCCCTGGCTTTGCTACTCCTAGCGCTTTGAGGGTTGCTCCTGATGGATTAAGGGGACCGTCCCATACCAGAGATTGAACCTCGTCTCCATCCCTGTGAGTTAACTCCCTATCTCTTATCCTTACTCATTTTTTGTGAATGTGGCCAGACTCCCAAGTAGTGCATAGGAGTGCTATGGTCCCACCAATAATTCTCTGGTTAACTGAATCTGCACTTTGTAATAAGGGTCCAAGAATGTGGTGCTTCTCTGTCCCTGTATAGGCAGGGATTGACCCTGGCCATTCTGGTAGTGCTAAGGGGCCTCCTGGACTGCACCTGATAATGCTCAAGGGACTCCAGGGCTGCACCTGGTGATGCTCAAGGGACTCTATGGTACTAAGAATCCAACCCAAGTCAGGCATAAGCAGCTTAACCACTGTACTATCTCCCAGACCTCTTATTCTTACAATCTATGTGATCTTGAGCAAACTTATGCTTCCAAACCTCTAAACTTATTTATTTAATATGTATGTTGGTAAAGTATATTAGTAAATTTTGGAAGATAAAAGCTATCTTCTTAAGATAGAAAAAAGTCTTGTATTTGGGAACCAGAGAGATAGAACAGTGGGTAGGGTGCTCACCTAGGTTTAATCCCCAGCACCCCATGAACCCTGACAGGAGTGATTCCTGAGTGCAGAGCCAGGAGTAAGCACTGAGCACAGCCAAGTATGGCCCAAAACCAACAAAGTAACCAAAATATGCAAACTACATGTGTAATTTAGTTTTCTAGTAACCACATTTTAAAGCATAAAAAGATACAAGTGAAGATCACTTTAATCAGATTTTTAATGTAATATATCCAAGATGTTTATTTCAACATTTAAATATCCTAATGAGTATCAACAAAATATTTTGTTTTATTCTTTAGTCTTTGAAATATAGAGTACATTTTATACTGAGAGCATCTATCTTGATTCATCCCAGCACATATCAAGGGCTTAATAACCCTTGAGATTTTGAACATGGAGCAGAACTAGTCATCTAGCGTGTGACTAGAATGGGACACAACTGTCTGTCTCTGGAGAAACGAAAGGTTCAGTTAGGTTCCCTTCTGTCTAATCAGGGCAGTAGAAATGTTCCTGAACTCTAAATTACAGATTTTTGCAGCCTTTGTGGGACTGTCCAAAGTTTTCCCAGGAATATAGAATCCTTTGTATTTGCCTCATTCAGCACACAAGATTCAAAACACAAGAAAGGACTGTGCACTAGACTGAAGCACCCCTTGGGCCAGGGATGACTCAGTAGACTCCTCCCCTTCCTTTCCCACCCCCACCTCTAACCAGGGCATGTAACTAGTGGCTGTTGTTTTGTTATCGTTCTTCTCCAGTATGAAGTCATTGAAGTTTTAACAAAAGATTAGAATGGTCTAATGTGTCTGTGAGAATAGTTGCATGACAACAATGACTTAGTCCATTGCTGTATTCCTGGCAGTGAGAGTAGTGCTCAGTAAACATTAGTTGAAGGAATAAAGAATGAATGAACATGGGTGACAATTAAACCCATAGAATTTAGTCTTGCAAGTAATTGTCACTTCTACTCCAAGAATATTAGCCTTTATTTATTTGCTTTTCAAGCAGATTTTGATTAGGAGACATTTTTGATGGTTTAGTACCATGTATAGTATTTCTTCATAGGCCTCACAAAAATGATTAACTCCCACATTTCACAGCGTGGGAACAACCTATAATTAATAGAAATTTTACAGCCCAATGTATAAATATTCATGTCACGTTTTTAGAAGTATGAATGAGAACATTCCTTGCATAGTCACCTTTAATAGTGACCAGATAGTTTTTTTAAAATACTGTTCAAGAGTGAGTTACTTATAATGGATAATCCTGCAGACAGTAAAAACTTTTGCAACTTTTTCTAGAAGCTTTGGATTTGCTTTATTTCTAAATTCCTTCAAAATACTGAAACTAAAAGTAGAGCAGCCAGCTTGTGTTTGGTTTAGAGAAGCTCATGCTGTCTTCCCACTCCTCCATCTGTTGAAACAGTTTTTAGGTTTCATGGGACTAGAACATAGAAGAATCCAATTTGCCATAGTTCTGGGGATTAGAAAAAAGCCTTTACCTATAGCACTGAGTTTATTTTATGTATTTTGTGTGTCTAGCACATCAATTTGGAGTACTTTAGAGAACAAATCTCAACTTTATAGCTTCTAAGGCTTGCTTTGTGTAGGAGAATCTATAAAACAGTAGTAGCAAAGACTGTGGTAGTATTTTACTTAACCCAAAAACTGTTTTTATTTTTCCTCTCAGCAGTAGAGCTGTAACCACAGCCATGGAGGTTGTTAGGAGGAAATGAATTCTTTATATGATCTCTTTATATTAGCACATAAAATGCTCATATGGCCAAATAATATAGGTAATATTTACTTTCCTTTTTAGTGGTAACATTGTAGGTTATCATGTGATTGTTCCATGTTGTTCCTGCCTTCTTTCTTGCAATAATGGACACTTCTGGATGTTTCACAGCCAGGCAGTTTATGGTATTAACAGACTGGACTCTTCTGGTAAGAAATAATTATTTCTGATATTCCTCCAAATTTTGTCTAGCAGTGTCTAGAACTCCCAAAAATTAATTTTAGCAATTTCCTTAAAGCCACATATTGGGATGGATTCACTGGGATGAAACTTTTTAATTCTTTTATCACAAATATCTCTTTATGACACCTATTAACCAACAATTTCCATTTCTATTTTTGTTATTTATATTTTAGAGCCTCAAACATGACTAAGTTTTATGATCTTAAATGTTTCAATTGCTTTAAATTTCTACCTTGATATTATGATCTCAGCTTATGAAAATTTATGAAATAATTTAGATTTGATAGCAAAGTATATTTAAGTTTATTCAGCATAAAATAGACATTCTGACATCTATAAATTCATAGTAACAAATTATGATACAATTTTAACCTAGGGAAATTTAATACTAATATGTTTTACTAGTTGTCTAATTGAAAATTGCATAGCCAATTCTGATTTTTACTGAATGCATTTCATATTATATGAAGCCATTTACTTCTGTTATAGGACACATTTTTCAGTGTCTAAATCTATTTATATAACAGATTGAGTTAACTTTAAAGAGCTTGTCAATCCAATTTGGCACTCGCAGTCTCAGGTTTCAATTTGTTTTTATCTTCTTCAGAACTTAAAATAAATCCCAGTTTTTGAAAGTATGATTTGTCTTTAAAGACTAAAAAATCATGAATTTTCAACTAAGTTCATAGGTCTTTAAGCCTTAAATTGTGATCCTACTTTTTTTAATAACCCCATGTTCAATTGTGCATCTCTACCTTTCAGTTGGAAGATCTTAATTTAACATGATAATATATTATGAAGGCATAAATTTATGAGCAAAGTGAGATGTAGGCAGCTCATTTAGCTTTCCAATTTTGTGTTTCTCATGGGACTCATTAAAGGAAGTTTCTCCTTTGATACTCTTTTTCCTGCTTTATGGAATTCAAAACACAAGGTGGAGATTTTTCAATTTTGATTTACTTTTTAATATTAGTCAATTTTTCAAAGAGAAAAGCCTAGCATTTTTCCATTTGTATTGAATGTAATCCAGGAGAAACAGACGGATCACAGGATTTCCTTCCTCTTTCTTAACAGAGAAAGGAAGGTACTGCTTCTGTCAGATCCAAACGCTTAGTTTATTTTTTGTCCTTTGAACCAATTGTGCAGAGCTACTCATGTCTCTGAATATTGACTCCAGAAATATCAAACTTCTTTGTAACCCTAATATTGTGATTTTTTTTGTTTGTTTGTTTTTGACCCACACCCAGCAGTTTTCAGGGGTTAACTGTGTGCACAGGGATCATTCCTAGCAGGCTCAAGGGACCAAATGGGGTGTCCAACTCTGGTTGGCCTAGTGCAAGGCAAGTGCTCTAACTGCAGTACTATCACTCTGGCCCCTAAATATTGTGATTTAAAGAATTGTGTGTGTGTGTGTGTGTGTGTGTGTGTGTGTGTGTGTGCTTGATAAACAGAATTTCTGATAGTGTTGGAACTGTCTTTGATCACAGAATTGGTAGTATCAACAGAATACCTTCAGATGCTTTATAATATTCTAGAATAGTTTAAACTGAAAGAGCCCTCAATAAGTTTATGCTCTAGGTTAGTCTTCATATGTAGCTCTGCTTTTCCAAAACTTTGTTGAGGAAAGCTTAGAAAACATCGCTTAAAATTCCCTGTGATTAGTAAATGATCTAAAAAGCAAATGAACTTCAACTTTCCATTTACCCCTACAAGTTCAAATCACCCCCTCAGATTTTGGTATAGTAATTCTGGTGATTATATGCACTCTTCAATGTCATTTTACCAGCGGCAAAGCACCACTTATGCTTTTTTGTTGTTGTTTTGGGGCCACACCCAGTGGTGCTCAGGGATTACTCCTGACTCTGAGCTCAGTGATCACTCCTGGCAGGCTCAGGGGACCATATGGGGTGCCAGGGATAAAACCCTAGCTGGCTGCATTCTAGGCAAACATTCTACCTGTGTACTCTCTTTTACCCTTTTTTTTTCCAAAATTATTTTTTTAAATTTTTTTTTATGATTGGGTTTTAGTCACACAGTATTACAACATCCATCTCTTTACCAGTATACATTTCCTGCCACCAATGTCTCCTCCCTCCCACCCCCTGACAGCTTGCCTCTATGGCAGACTCCTCTCTCTCTCTCTCTCTCTCTCTCTCTCTCTCTCTCTCTCTCTCTCTCCCCCCCCTTTCTCTGTCTCCCTTTCTTTCCCCCCTCCCCTCTCTCTCTCGAAATATTTTTTATTTTTTATAATCAAAACAAAACAGAATTTATAAAAATATGATGATAGACATTTGTATTTTCACCAGAATCTGGTTAGATTCTAGTATCCCAACCAAGAGATCATTGATTATTTTACTGTTTCTCCAACAGTACACATCCTTACACATGTCTATCTTAGGGCATCTATGAAAATTTTCCCTCCTACAGAAGGAAAAGTGCTGCACATTATGGACATAGGTAAATCTACATATATGAACATAGGTAAATTTCCATGTTAAATGATTTAAAAGAAGAATTTAAAAGATACACAGTATAACATATAAAACAATAATATATTTAGTTTGTGGTTGCTTATACTTTAGCAAAAGTAATATAAACATGAATGTTATACTGCTAGTGGTAGAAACTGGATTAAAATAACTAATCTTGTCTTAGAATTCCCATCTAACTACTGTCAGTGTCTGCAGTGTGGGTCTCTAGAGTTGCTAAGTCTTCCTGTGTCCACAGTCACAAATGAACAGCTTAAGATTTCTTTTCCTTTTTCTTTATTTATTTGGTGGGGTAGTGGGGCCAGTGTGAGTGAGTTGGGGCCACACCCAGTAATATATTTAGAATCTGCTTCTGACTCTGTACCCAGGAGTGACCTTTGAGTGCTGGGGACCATATGTGATTTGAACTAGAAATAATCCTTTGCTATCTTTCTGGCCCAGATTTGTTTAACTCACTTATTTTGTTGTTGGTGTTGGGTTCAATTAACATTGATATAGTGCATTAATAAACTATCTCATTATCTCTTTAGCATTTATGTGATACTGCACTATATTAAATTCCATTATATTAAATTCTATAATATGAAACCTGGCCATTCTTCCACAATGAGGTTTTATTCTGGTTTTGTATTGACTGCTATACTCTGTTCCTAAATTTTATAGTCATATTGACCAAAAAAAAAAAAATCCACGTGTATTAAACAATACTGTTCATTTAAAAGAATATTAATTTATTATTTTTGTTTGTTTGAGGGTCATACCTGGCAGTGCTCATTGTCTACCCTGCTCATTGCTTGAGTGTCCCTGCTGTGGTTCTCTTTTTTATTTTATTTTATTTTATTTATTTATTTTTTTTATTGAATCACCGTGAGATACAGTTACAAACTTTCATGATTATGTTTCAGTCTTGCAATGATCAGGCACCCATCCCTCCATCAGTGCACATTTTTTGCCACCATTGTTCCCAGTGTCCCTCCCATCAACCCCACCCCATCCCACCCCCTGCCTCTGTGGCAGGTACATTCCTTCTTACCTTCTCTCTAATTTGGGGCGTTATGATTTGCAAAACAGATACTAAGGGACATTCATGTTTGGTTCTTAAATTACTTTCAGGTTCTCTTTATTTTAAAGCTGACTCCAGAACCTTGTTAAGAAAGGCACAAGGTGGGTTGGAGAGAGAGTAATAGCAGGTAGGGCACTTGCCTCACACACGGCCTAACCAGTTTTGATCCTTGGCACCCCAGATGGTTCCCTGAGCCTGCCAGGAGTGATTTCTGAGCAAAGAGCCAGGCATAAGCCCTATGCATTGCTGGGTGTGGCCCCAAAACAAAACAAAACAAAAGGCATCAATTACCTCTACACTTGTTGAAGAGATGAGACTTAAGGTTTTTTGTTTGCTGGTACAGTCTAAAGAAAAAGTTATTCTAAAAAGATATAAGATCTATTTTCAAGGATTACTCATAGCAGTGCTCAGGGACAATTTGGGGTGCCAGGGACTGAACCTCGTAAACCTTGAGCAAGGGAAGTGCCCTGCCTGCTCACTATTCTGTCGCTTCAGCCCTAAAATGGATTTTTAGAAATTTTGGTATACAGTGATTATGGCAAAATGGAGCTAAGGCAAGCCTTGAGTAAATATTCCTCAGATTCTTTATTTGTAGTACTTTTATGAGAAAGATAGGCGGGTGGGGGGAGCAAGTCTAAGTCACACCAAGGTGTGCTCAGGCATTATACCTGACTCTGTGCTCAGAGATCACTCCTTGTGGGCTGAAGGAACATAGACAGTGCCTGGGATTGGACGAGGGTTGGCCAGTGTGCAAGGTAAGTGCCTTAACTCCTGTACTATCTCTCCGGTCCAACTTGTGGTACATTTTTTAACATTTTTTAAATTAATGAAACCATTATGTTTTAATTTACATATTTCATGCTGAGTTATAATAGTGGTCAGTGCTAAATAACTTTATGAACTTTAATTTGCAGGTATAAACTTCCTACTTTGGGGGAACTTGCCAGAGACAGAAGAGAATACAGATGAAGCCATATTAGATATTTCAGCAGAGGAGTGTATTAGATGAATGAAATTATGATATGGATGATGTTCAGCCTTTTTCCTATTTAATATATGTGTTAATGGATCAACTTTAAAATTTCTGAAGAATTTTTCAGTTTTTTAAAATGCATTTGTTTGTTTCTTTGCTTTCTCAGATTATCTGAATATAGTTGAGTCAATTTTTTTCCTTCTACTTCTACTTCCTCTTTCTCTTTCTCCCCTCTTCACCCAAGATAGATGTATTTTCAAATGCAGAAAGAAACAGATTTTTTCACATATTATTTAGCAAGCTTCCAATCTGAGAGAATTTTCTTACAACTAAATGACACATGTCATTAATTTCATATTCTAATAAGAAGCATTAGTACCCACACATATACAACCATGCATATATTCATGTATATAAAATGCATGAATGAATAAGTCAAACTCAATTGGGAATTAATGCTTAATGGGGAATTACAAAACAGGCTGTTAGGTTTCTTGAGTACTGTTTATCATATTTTATATTGAAGATAAGTAATATGAAACAAGACTTTGATAATCAGCAAAAAGAAATGAAAACTTAAAACTTCAAAATGTATGGCAGAATTCTCTTAATTCCTCAGCATGGCAGATAGTGAATTTTTAAAAAAAATATCAATTTATACTTTTACCCAATATTATTTTTATACTTTTACTGTCTTGTGGATATTATGCTATGAAATCCAGATAAACTAAACCCCAATCTTTAAGTTATCCCATTTCAGGGTGTCCTCTGTAAATAGCAAGTATTTTTTTAATGGAAAATTAAAGTGGTTTGCTTAGGCCATTATATATTTTTTTAAAGTGCTGTTTGTTTTTTTTTTTTGTTGTTGTTGTTGTTGTCATCACTGTTGTTGTGTCATTTAAAACTGCATTCAGAGCCACAAAGGAAAAGAAAACTGAGATAGTGTTCGGTTTTATATAAAGTTAAAATCATTGTATTGCCTTTGCTAATATCTTAACTCTAGGTATGTTATCAATAGCAACGCCAAAGCAGATGAATTATGGTTTTGTAAATAAAGTTTGTTGTAAAGTTGATCATCCTCCAGTTTTTTCTTATAACCTTTTCTTGCCTGAAAATAGAAATAAATATTTATTATGCTTACTACTTTTCTTAAAATATAAAGGTGGGCAATAAGAGAGAGAGAGAACAAAAGGGAATGCCCTGCCACAGAAGCAGGGTGGGATGGGGAGGATGGGGGGTGGGAGGGATTCTGGGATCCGCGGTGGTGGGAAATGGGCACTGGTGGAGGGATGGGTATTTGATCATTGTATAATTGAAACCCAAGCACAAAAATTTGTAAGTCTACAACTGTACCTCATGATGTCTCACTAATAAAAATTAAAAATATATATATAAAGGTGGGGCCAGAGAGATCATTAAGGCGCCTGATTGCCTTGCACTTGGTTCAGTCCCCAGCCCTGCATAAAGTGTTCGCTGAGCCACCAGGTATGACCCCCCCAAACCATCCCCAAATATATATGTAAATATATATACACACGTATATATGTATAGAGTATAAGAGGGACATGGAGAGAGCTCAAGTGGTAAAGGACATGCCTAGTATATGTGAGACCTTGAGTTCCCCATCTTCCTGTTCTCTTACTCTATACCTATCCCCAACACTTTTGATTATGACCCTTTGATCTCTCCAGCATACAACTGTTAGGCCTTCATCACCAGGAGTGGCCCCAATTCACTTCCACAGTACTGCTGGGTGTGACAAGGCTGGAGCGACAGCACAGCGGTAGGGTGTTTGCTTTGCATGCGGCCGGCCAGGCTTACCGGGGTTCGATTCCTTCACCACTCTCGGAGAGCCCGGCAAGCTACCGAGAGTATCTCGCCCGCACGGATGTGCCAAACACAGTAACAACAAATCTCACAATGGAGTAAACCTCCTGGTATTTATCTCGGCTATTCTTGGGTGTTAGTCTCCTATTTTGTTACTTTATGTTCCCCAGATGAATGCAGTCTTTCTATGTCTGTCCCTCTCTTTCTGACTCATTTCGCTTAGCATGATACTTTCCATGTAGTACCACTTGTATGTAAATTTCATGACTTCATCCTTTCTAACAGCTACATAGTACTCCATTGTTTAGAGGCCACCTGCACACTCTAGGGGTAAAGGCAGCTCAGATAGAGAAGGGAGCACCAAATAAAGGGTGTTGGGAAGATCCGCCCAGGATGGGAGATGCATGCTGAAATTAGACTATAGACCAAACATGATTGCCACTCAATTCCTCTTTTGCAAACCACAGCACCCAAAAAGAGAGAACAAAAGGGAGTGCCCTGCCACAGAGGCAGGGTGGGATGGGGGGAGGGGAGGGTGGAGGGTGGGAGGGATACTGGGATTAGTGGTGGTGGAGAATGGGCACTGGTGGAGGGATGGGTGCTCGATAATTGTATAATTGAAACCCAAGCACAAAAATTTGTAAGTCTACAACTGTACCTCATGGTTTTTCACTAATAAAAATTTTTTTAAAAAAATCTCACAATGGAAATATTACTGGGCCCGCTCGAGGAAATCGATGAACAACAGGACAGTGCTACAGTGCAGTGCTATAGAAATTAACATTTATCATGTGCTTGAGTGCTTACTATGTGCAAGACACTGTTCTAAATCCTTTACAATGTAATTTATTCACACGATAGACCCATGAGGAAGGTACACTTGCTAGTCCTTTTTTGATTAATCAAATAGGTGAAGCATAGAGAGAGCTTGTTCGAGGTCAAGCTTATCAGACAGGTGATCAGATTCAAACGCAGACAAATTCCAGAGCTCCTACTCTTAATCCTTATTGCTGTACCCAATATGCACCTGCAGATATCCATCAGCTATTTTATATATCCAGGATACATGCTGGATAATTATCTTGTTACATATTCTAGGTGAAGGCCCAAGTAACTGATTTCAAGATCGAAACTCTCATAGTTGTTTTATATTAAAAGTGACCTGCGGGCACCAAAAGAATCATATGTTGTAATCCAAGATAAAAAGTTATTTCAGGAAATGCTTTTTCTGGTTCCTGGAAAATGTTTCCAAAAGTCTTTCACATTCATGATCAGAACGGGTGGAAGATCAGTAAAAGAACCAAAGGGGTAAGAATGGAACTACTTGTACTTTTGAGACCACGTATTTATATTAGCCTCTTTTAAGAAACCTTTAAGGAAGCAGAAACAATAAGATTTTAAAAATAGATTTATACAACATTATGTAATTCTTAAATGAATTTGTTAAATTCGACAAAAATAGAAGGTTAATACTGGAGTAGGGGATATGGCAAGTTTAAAATTCCATAAACTTCATCTGACATCTGCTCATACCTTTAAAGGCTATAATTGAGGGGCTCTTTAATGAGAAAAAAATAAGACAGATTACTGATTGAAGCAACCCTCAAATGTCATTCCAACTCCAACTGGAAAATGTTTCAAATTACTTAACTATCTTTTAACTAATTGGGTTATGAGAAGGACTCTTCTAAATCTAACACTAAGTTTTATTTACACTTTCCTTTGTGAAAAATGCAGTGAACTAGGTGAGGATAAAATCCTATGAATTTCCTTAATGTATCAGTTTCAGTGATTTAACAAAGCTGTGCCTAAAAGTTCCACAGCTCTTTACAATAAAAGAACACCATTCTGAGTAGTAGAAGACACTGGGAGCAGAAAAAGCCATTGAAAATAAGTGATACTTGCCTCAAATACAGAAATGTACTAGCATGAAGTTGAATTTTGGACAAAGAATAGTGTATAAAAGTGGGCAGGAGCTTAAAAGTATCTGACTTATTTAGGAAATTTTAAGTGGCCCTCTACACTTTCCAAGCTATGTAGTAAGAATTAATTAGACTATGAAGCTATAATGGAAGGTTGAGATCATGTTATGAAGACTCGACCCATTAGACTTTTCAATGCTAATATAAATTTAGATTGATTCAATAGCAATGCTACTAGATCAATGCTACTGAGGTTTGTAAGCAGGTGAATAAAACAATTACATTTAGGATACAATTAATTTTCAGGGGGCCAGAGTGATAGTACAGCACGTAGGTCTTATACATGGCCAACCCAGGTTTGATTCCCAGAATCCCATATGATCCCCTAAACTTGCCAGGAGTGATCCCCTAGTGCAAAGGGGATAAGCCCAGGCCCCCCCAAGAATGGTCCAAGAATATCACTGTCACTGTCACTGTCCTCCCGCTGTTCATCGATTTGCTCGAGTGGGCACCAGTAATGTCTCCATTGTGACAATTGTTACTGTGTTTTGGCATATCGAATACGTCACGGGGAGCTTGCCAGGCTCTGCCTTGCGGGCGAGATACACTCGGTAGCTTGCCAGGCTCTCCAAGAGGGGTGGAGGAATCGAACTCGGGCGGTCTTATTGGACGCTTGCAAGGCAAACGCCCTACCCGCTGTGCTCCAGCCTGAGAATAAAAACCAAAAAAAAAAAATTATTTTTCATGATCCCCTTTTATTAATGAACCTATCATCTTGACCATAGAATTTATATTTGTTGCCTTTACTTAATTTAATATTAATCTTTAACTTCCCTGACTTTCTGGTCTTTCTGCAGTGGGACACTGCCTTTCCCCATCTTTCATTTTGTCACTCCAAAAATTCAAGGGAGGAGCAAATGAGTCATCAACCCATTAATTAAAGCCTGTTTTCCCCTATGCCTTATCTCTTTTATTAATTATTTTTCTGTTGTCACATTCAGCAATGCTGAGGGGTTACTCCTGGCTCAACACTTGAAGACCATGCAGTGCTAGATTTTGAATCCAAGTTTCCCTCATACAAAGTGTGTGGTCAGCCTGTTGAGCTGTCTCTCTGGCCCATAACATTTTCTTTTCAAGTCAGTTTCTCAGTCTAAAACTCAGAATCTATGTAATCATCTTGGGTGGTGACTAGTTTTAAAAATCATAGCATTTTGAATAATCTTGACTCTGAAATCAGGTCTTTAATATAAAAATATTAAACATTAAAAATACAATACAAAGAGGTGTTCTTTTAACCTCCAAGTCATATGTGGCTTATAAAGAATATTCTGTATTGCTTTTCTTTGGTCATAAGGAAGTTACAATAATTAATAGAAC